AGATCTGAGAGAAGTTGCGATTCGTTGCGAATGAGAGTCAAAGCGAATCCGGAATCGCTTTTAACGACCACTTGTGCGACGACGCGGTCGCCCGACGCCACTGTCGCCCAGAAGTGTCGTTCGCGGGCTTCGTTGCCGTGGAAACAGAACGCCTCGAGAGGCGGCGCCCACGAGGGCTGGCCGTCGGCGTCGTCCGGCCGCGCAGTCTGCAGATGCGGTCGAAGGCGACGCCGAATGCAGTCCAAGAAGGACTCGGATTTGATGCTAAAAAAGACGACAATTAGTGATCAAAGGATTGAATGAATGACTGATTACTCGAATCGCAAAATGGGATCCATTTGTGACTAAAAGCCGTCAAAAAGTGTCATAAATTTGGCACAAAATCGCTTCAAATGATGTAAACATTTCTGACGGGACTCTCATTTAGTACGCAATGAATGAACACTTTTTGTCCCCTTTTTGGAGAAATAATAATAATTTCTAGACTTTGGATAAGATTTGGATTTTATTGCGAAACGAAAAGTGAATTCAATTCTAATGTCTTTCATTCGACACCACATTCTTCGCGCGCTCCAAGTCGGCGAACGCCAGAAACAGTTGGTTCTTGAGCTCCGCGTCGGACATCGCGTCGCCTTTCGTGTCGTTGTCGTCGTCCTCGTCGTCGCACTCCTTCTCCAAGAGATCCACTTTCGCTGCAATCGTGTCGATGAGTTGTCGTACGTCTTGTCGTCTGTCGTCCGCGACTCTGAAACACAGGAAAACACTCTTCAGTCGCTTTTTGGCGCTCTTTTCAAACTTACGGCGCGTTTAGAGTCCGCAAAACGTCACGCGCGTCGAGAGTGGCGCCAACCAGCGCGTGAATGGCCCCCAAAAGCCGGCGCTCGCGTTCCTCGCGCTCTTTGTCGGCCAAAGAGAACTCGAATTTCGGTTTTTTGCAACTCTTGAGCCAATGATTGGTTAGAAAGCAGTTTCTGCGCGAAGAGCGCACGTGTTTCGGGAAACGACACGAAAAGCAGAACTGCGGACAGAAGTAGTGTTAGACGACAGAGAGGACGACAGTGAGACGACACTCACGTATCCGTCGTCCGGAACGTCGCGCTCCTGATGGAAGTGCATGCAGTGCGCGTGTTGCCAACACAGACACAGCTCGCACTGCACCATAAGTCCCGACTCCTCGCGCGCGTCGCACACGCAGTGCACCAATTCGTCGATGTCGTCGTTCTCGTGGATCTCGGCCACAGTGCGCGCGTCCCAAAAGGGCTGAAGAACCAAAGCTTACGTCACTTCTCGTCTCAACTCCGCTCTAATACTCACGAGAGTCGTGTTCGGCACTACAGGCGCCTCCTTCACGGCCACCGCTGTCGTCGTCGTCGTCGCCGTTGGGGTCGTCGTCGGCACGACACACGACATGACAGGCGTCGGCGCAGTCGTCGTCGTGGGCAGCGAAGGGACCGGCGGTTCGCTAACGAAGTGTTGTTCGATTCGATTGGATTTGCGAACGGCGGCCGACGGCAACGCCTTCCGCACGTATTTCCTCTTCAACCGACTCTTCGTCGTCGGCTTCGCGTCACTCGAGACGACAGTCGACGCGCTCTTTGTCGTGGTCATCGTTGGAGTTGCCTTTGGAGCGGTCACGTGAACACTGGACGACGCAGTGGTCGTCGTCTCGGCTGTTGTCGCCGTCGTCGTCGTCGTCGTCGTTGTTGTTGTTGTCGTCGTTTCGGTCGTTGTCTTTGTTTCGTCCGATTTGTGGTAATGCTTGAGATGTTGGGCTAAAAGACTGTCGAAAAGTGGGTTAAAAGCGACACAAAGTGCGACAAAACGGACGACAAAACAGACCTCTGTTTCCGGAACCCTTTGTTGCAGTCCTCGAAGTGACACTTATAGTCGTTGTGGTCGTCTTTGACGCGGAATTCTTTGTTGAGGACGAGCGACGACGGGACGCGCAGTCCGTCGTAATTGTCGGGCATTTTCTCAATTTGACTCGTTTTCACTTTCTTGCGATATCCGTCATAAAAGAGCACTAAAACCGTCTTCTGGGCGTCGAAGCGCTCGATGATTGTCGCGGGATATGGCCTGTTGTCCGTCCATCGCGCCAACACCTCCTCGTTCACGGCGAACGACAGACTGTCGTCGTGGGCGGCGTTCGCGTCGCTGTTGGCGCTCTTCTCGCGAATGAACTGCGAGTCCAAAGGGAACCACTGGTCGTATCGCGCGCTCCACCGCTCGAAGTGAACCAAAAGCTGGAGTTTGTCTTCACTGAAGGCCACGATTTTCGCCGAATACCAGTCGCCCACCACATCGCGCGCCTCCACCCTCTGGCCCACCGACCACTTGCACGACGGCAAAGCTGTCGTCGTCGTCGAGACTGTCGTCGCGGGTGTCGTCTCCTCGTGAGTCGTGACGACAGGCGCTGTCGTTGTCGTCGTTTTCGGCGCTTTTTTGGTCGCACTTTGTGTCGGATTTCGTTGCGAAACGCTTTGGCTTTGCGTCAAATTGAGGACCAATTCGTGAACAGATCGCTGAGCGGTCGGCCGTCGCGGTCGTCCTCTATGGCTGCGACCGCCGGTCGTCGTTGTGGTCGTCGGAGACGACACTTCTTCGCCACAGACGTTGTCTTCTCTGTCGGCGTCCATTTTGGGCGTTATTTGTGTGCAAAGAGTGGGACGTAATCTATGGACGACTCGCGAAATGGAGACAAACGTCGCGACAATTGAATCGGATTTCGGCGAAGACTTGAGCGCCAGTTGTCTCGTGACGTCCAATAAGGAGAACATAAATGGCTCGCAATCGTCGCAAAGACATCGCTTCAAAGTCGTGAAACTCGTCTCATCGGAGCCCTATTTGAGGGGCCGTTGGAATTGCAAGGACTTCATCAGCAAAGACGGCGACCCGACGACAACAGTCGTCACGACGACCGCCAACGAGGCCGTCATCTCCACAGCACAGCAGCCGACGTCCGTCGCCGTCGCCTCTCAGCAGACGAGTGTCACGACGACGACGACAACGACGACGACAGGCGGCGACTCCTCGACGACACCGAACGGCGTGTAAGTGTTGCGCTGTGCGTGACTTCGCCGCCACTAACGCTCGTGTCCCGCCTTTAGCGCCATCGACAACAAGATCGAGCAGGCGATGGATCTCGTGAAGAGTCACCTGATGTTCGCCGTTCGCGAAGAAGTGGATGTTCTGAAGGAACGAATCAAAGAACTCGAGTCCGAAATTCACATTCTGCGCGCTCACGCCACCAGCGATGTCCTGCAACTCGTGCTGCAACAGCAACAGCCGGGGGCGCCGCCTCCCGTCGCGCAGCCGCAGAGTCAGCCGTCGGGAGGAGCGCCGCAAACGGAACGCCAGTCGGAGTGAAGAATAATTTATTTTTAGTAAAAACTCTAAAAACGTGTAAAACATTTGTGTCTTTGGTTTCAAACGGCGCTGTCTTTGGCGGCGCGCGACGGCCGCAGCTGTTGTCCAATGAAGGGCGCGCTCTGGTCGTCGAAGAGCGCCGATTGGCCTCTGAATGGGGGGAAGAAAAAGGTAAGAAAGCGCGCGAAAAAGCCAACACTCACTCGAAGGCCGGATTGTCGACCGAATGGACGTTTTGTTTCGCGCGCGAAGTCATCGACGAATGGCTTCAAAGCGACAACAATTAGAACACAGAGCGAGCGAAGGGGGCTTTTGCTCACCTGAGGGGCGGGGCGGCGCCCGCCGTCTTGGCCACAGTGGCGGTGCGCGCGCGCGACGCGAACACATGTTGCGACAAGAAGTAGATGGCGCCCACTTTGTAGCGCGTGAAGAAGACGACGTCCATTGCGACCAACAGAACGACGATAAGTGCGACGGCGACGCCTAACGAGAGAGAGAGAGTTAGAGACGACAGAGAGGGCGACGCGAAGGCGACGAACCGGCGATGAGTCCGACGGAGAGCGTCGGCGCAGACGTCGTGTCGTCGTATAAGAGGTTGTCTTCGGGCGAACGGTCGTCGGCTGTGGCGGCGAAAGGAAAGTGGGTTTTGGCGGAAGTTTAGGGCAAAGACTGACCGGAAGTCTTGAAGACGAGAGACTCGACGTCCGAAAAGCCCAACTCATTGTAAGCGCGCAGTTCGAGGCGATAGTAAGTGTTTGACCGCAACTCCTTCAGCGTGTATGACGTCATCGACTGGTCGTTCATCGAGACGGTGGTCGTCGTGACGTCAGAGGCGACCTCGTAGTCGTTGTCCGTCGGCAACACCTGCGCAGAGAGAGTGAGTGAAGGCGACGGAGAGGACGGCGGAGACGACAGTCGGGCGACAATACACTCACGCGATAATACTTGAGTTCGAAATACTTGATGCGTCGGCCGTTGTCCGGCGGCAGAGTCCACGTGACGCCGAAGTTCCGGCCGAACGGCGAGACGACAGGCCTTTCGGGCGGAAGGTTCGCGAATCGCGGGCGTTCGGGACGCGACTCGCGCTCAGTGCGCACCTGGCGCTCGACGGAGAAGTCGCCTGAAAGGCAAAAGAGCGTCAGTTTGCGGTGAAAGAGGCGGCAAAAGGCTTCCGACCGACTCCGACGGCGTTTTCTGCGGCGAAGCGGAAGAGATATCGCGTTCGCGGTCGAAGGCCTTCGAGAAAGTAGAGCTCTTGGTTGCGCGCGAGCGGCCACCTCTGGGTTCGCATTTGCGACCAATCGGAGTCCTCTTCGCGGAACTGCACGTGAATGGCCGTCACGGGCATCTGTGGGCGGAGACAGTGAGTGGGGGTGTGAGGGGGTGGGGGCGGGGAGTGGACTCACGCCGCTGTCGAAAGAAGGCGCCATTATGCGGAATGTGATTGTTGTGGGAGTTATCAAGTGTTGAGTCGACTGCAGAATAGCGCCTAAAGAGAGGAAATGAAGTCAGAGATGGAGCGGAAGTCACGTGACACTCACCCGGACGAAAGGCTTCCTCTAATTGGATAACGCGCTGATCGGCGCCCAAACTGTTGAACGCTTCGCAACGGTATTGACCGAAGATGTCTGAAAGAGTAGTGTTGAGAGCGAGAGAAAGAGAGAGAGCGCGGAACAGGAAATACCTCTGAACGCTGATCCTGTGGCCGAACGCGAGTTGACGTGAAGTCGCGAAACTCCGGCTCTGATTGGTGGACGAGAGGAGTGAGAGAGCTGTGATTGGCGGAAAGGACTCACGAATTGGATTCAATGGTGTAAAGCGAGCCAATGGGAGAGAGGGACAGGTCTTGACCTCTAAACCACCAGCGAATCGTCGCGTTCGGCACGGCGTCTGCCACACACGTCACTGCGGGGGCGGAGCGCAGGTTAGAGGGCGGGGCAGAACACTGGAGGCGTACTCACTGTTGATTGGCTGCAAATTCCAAGTCTTGACGACTGTTGTCGGCGTTCGACTCAAGTCGGGAGCGAAACGCACTTCGAGGCTGTGGTCGCGAGAGAAGGCGTGAAAAGCCGCGAAAAGGCGCTAAAAAGGCGGAGACTTACTGTCCGGCGCTCTCGACGACTCCGCCTCTGTTGCTCGCTCTGCAGAAGTAGAGGCCGTCGTCTTCGCGACGCTGTGGACGACGAGAGAGACGACAATGAAAGCGACGCAAAGACGACACAGACTTACGGTTTGCGACAATCGGAGCGACAAAAGCGTCTCTTCGTTCGGCTCTTGAGTTGTGGTGAGCGTCACGCGCGGGTCGCCGGCCGTCAGTTCGCGAGAGTCGCCGTCGCGGCGCAGCGACAGTTTGGGCGTCGGTTCGCCGGTAGCCTGCGGGCGGCAAAAGGGCGGTAAAGGGGGCGCCGGGAGGCGTTGGGTGCGAACTCACGCGACACTCGAGAAGCGATTCCTTGTTTGCGTCGAAACTCTTGTTCGCGAAAGACGTGATTCTCGGCGGACGCAAAACCACGAAAGTCGTCGTCCGGCGCTCTTCGCCCGCAGTGTCTGAGAAGAGCTGTTATTAGTATTGTCCGCAGACGACAGGTGGCGACACTCACTCTGCGCGATGCACGTGAACTGCCCGCTGTCCTCCTCCTTGCGTACGCGCGACACTATGAGAGCGCCGCCGTTGCGGTCGACGACGTATCCGCCCACCGACGAGAGGTTTCCTGTGGGAGGCGGGCGTTAGGGGGCGTGGCCTGTGACAGAACGTTTGGACTCACGTTTGTTGGGATCCAACCACGTGATGAGGGGTTGGGGAACGCCTTTCGCGAAACACTTGAGAGTTCTGTCTCGAGAGAGAGAGAGAGAAGGCATTAGAGAAAGAGCGCGAAAATCGTGGAGAAAACTGACGCCTCGAGGCCTTCGGTTCCCTCGAAATGTTCGGCCAATTGGACGACTTGTGGCGGCTCTGAAAGGGAGAGAAAGTGAGCGAAGAATATGCGAAAAGAGCGCCAAAACTGACCGAAAATCTGAACCGTAATAAAAGTCTGCGAAAAGAGTAAACAGTTATTAAAGAGTCACGTGATTGCGAGTCAATGCTTACGTCATGTATGCGTCCCGTTTCGGTGACGAGAGCGCGCACGCGGAACACACCTGCGGACAGAGGAAAGGCATGAGAGGAAAGGGATGTCTGAGAGCAAGGAATACCCCCGTCGGAGGCGCGGATCTCGTCATTGATTTGAACGCCGTTTGAATCGATTTGAAATCTGCGCTCATTTTCCAACTGTTGGCCGTCTTTACTCCACACGACTGCAGAGAGAGTCACGTGAGTGGGAGGAGAGTGGGAACTGGCGTTTGACTGACCGTTGGGTTTGGGGTTTGCGGTGGCCTTACAGCGGATGCGATTGGCGTCCGACTGACGAGAGCCCAAAACGAGGGACTGAACGGACGGACAGTCTTCCCATTGGACGTCCTCTGCAACGAAACGACGTGAGAGACGACGCTAGACGACGACAGAGACGACAGGACTCACGGAAAAAGTTGATTTGAATCTTGGCTTCGAAAGTGTCTGAAAGGGAAGGCGTGAGAGCGGAGACGACAGGAGAGCGACAGACGTCTACCTGAGTGTTGGAATGTTGCGGAACAGCGGTATTGACCGGAAGTGTCGGGCAGAGGGTTCAGGAAGTGTAGCAAAATGACGCCGTATTGCAGTTCGTCGACGCGGATGTCGGGATTCACGCGTTCCGAGTATCTGAGGGGAAAGGCGTGAGAGCGGGAAGGCGTCGGAGAGGACTCACGTTTTGGTGATCTCTTCGCCGCGCGGATCAAACCATCGCAGATTGGAGAAGAGGTTCGGTTCCGCTCCGAAGCCTTTGCACGTGAGGACGAACTGGGTATGAGAGGGCTGGTGGACGGACGGCGCGAATGGACTGATGGCGAGACCAATGGACGGCTCGGACGCGAAGACGGAATCTGTGCGGCGATTGGCGGTCAGAGAGTGACGTCAGAAGAGAGTACTCACGAGAGACGAAGACGAGGAATGAAAGGACGGAATGAAAGACATTGAAAGACATCTCGTGAGTCAACGACTCGATGGGAGTGATGGGAGTGGCCGACGGGTCACGTGAGTAAACAGAGAGGCGTTTGAAAAGCGTTTTATTGAAAGGCACTCAACACTCGAGTCAACAATGGATTGATTCGATGGACTCCTTGCGCGCCATCTGTTGGTCGTCCGAAGAGTCGTCGGACGAGAGACCGAACGCGTCGTCGATTCGCACTGAAAGAGACGACAGTTAGACGACAGAGAGGACGACGAGAGACGGCTTTACTGGTCTGCGATTCGGACGACAGCTTCCAAGTGGGCCGACGACTGCGAGTGCGCGGAATGGCGCCGAAGTGGCGGTCAGTGGCCGTCGCGGGCGTCGAGTACTCGGTGTTCGTCGGAGTCGTGGAGGCGGTCGTCGTCGCGCTCTCCGAGTCGTCGCTGCGGACGGAAGACAATGAGAGAGCGGCCGAAGAGGACTTCCGGTACTCACGGCTTGCGTTCGACGACTCCCTGACGCCGTTCGTTGGCGCGCGGAGGCGTTCCCGTGAACTCGCGGATGCCTGCGAACAGAGGGGTTAGACCGAACAGAGAAGGGCGTTGGGGGACGTACCAGGGTCGGTAGGCGTGTCGTCGCGTTCACTCTCAAACTCGTCGGCGAATTGGAGTGGGTTTCGGGCGAAGACGCGGATCAGCTCTTCGTTCGTCTGATTGGACGAACACATGGAGTGGGAGGAGCCCTTCGGCGGCCTCTGGCCCGGCGTCAGAGCGCGCAACTGAAAGGCATTGTTGTTGAGGTCATTGACCGCTAAGAGAGAGAACTCACGTGAATGTCGTTGCAATTCGTGCTGTAAGTCGTCGTCTGGTCGTCCGTCACGTGACCGCAGATGACGCCCACCCAACCCAAGTCCGCGCGCGACTTGTCGTCGACGGCGGCGCTGATGGCGTAGAGCGCGGTCTCGGGCGGCGGCGCGAGTCTCGGCCTCTCTGTCGGAGTGAGCGGCGGAAGGGGTCGCGCGTCGACGACGCTCGCGACGGGAAGGGCGACAGTGGCGCCGCACTTGACGCACGTGAGGGCGTGTGGCGCGTAGGGCAGTGCGAGCGGCGGCGGCGGTTCCGTTCGCTTCATGTAAGCGATAAGACAGACGACGGCGACGGCGCCCGACAACAGAATGACTGCCGAGGAAGCGATGGACACAAGAGTGGCGGTGTCCGCGTCCACAGACGACACCCACTGTCGTTGACTTCCGTCGTCTTCGTGTCGTTCAGTCGTTGCGTTCAACACGTCCTCCAAGGCGTCCATCGCTTCGACTGTCGCTTCGTCTGCACTCCTCTGCGCACTCGCAGTCCGAGGACTGAGGACTCGTCGCACGCCCGCCCCTCCTTCCCACTCGCCGTCCACCCGACCCCCACCGCACACTCGCGCGCCTCCACTCCACGCCGCATGCGGACGACAGCGGCCGACGCGAGGGTCGGGGCGTCGCTGGGCTTTGGTTCGTGTTTCGCGCCGTTGTCTGCGCTCTCATTGGCTGAGCTCTCGTCCAATGGTTGGCTTTGTTTTGCAAAAAATGGCCGAAAATAGCGTTAAAATGAAAAACGCGAAGAAATTCGGGAAAAGACGACAATTGATTCGCTTTCCGGCGAAAGCTCTTCACTCGTGGCTCTCGAAGGACTCGCGAGCGCAAGAAGTGGCCGAAAGAGTGCGTTTCGGACAGCAGTTGTGGCGCGCGATTGGCGGCGACTCCGACTCCGAGGACGCGCCGAATGTTTGTCTTTCTTTTGCTCGTCTTTTGAATGCTTTGTAAACGCCTTTCCATTGGTTTAGGATTTCGTGGGTTTCGACCAATCGCTGCCGGATTCGGGTCTGAAGTGAGAGAACGCGCCGACAATTGACTCATAATTTGTTTTCAGTCGACAGTGACGTCACGACAGAGACGACGGTTTGCGACAAAAACCGAATCCAAGAACTGCTGAGAAGTCAGTGGGAAGACCGCATCCGCGCGCTCGCCGCCCGCCCCGACCGGCCCGCGCCCACACCCCCCGCACTCAACGCCTCCCCCGCCGCCAAAACGAAGAGCATTCTGCGGAAGGCGCGCCTCAAGATCAACAATCGCACCATTGAGAAGATCCGAAGCGCGCACCGCAGAGACGACGACCGGAAGAGCGCCAAAAGACGCGACGCACCGGAAGTGCCGAAACCGGCCGGAAGTGCCAAATCGGGTCAACCGGGATTCATAACGTGCGCCATTTGCGCGCAAACCAAATACTACTCTCACGTTCAGCGCCGATACGGAGTGTTCAGGTGAGAGGAGGCGCCCTCTCGGCCACCGCTAACCCCTTTTTCTCCACAGTTGCGAACCTTGCTCCAAATTCTTCGCGCGTTTCCTCAAAGACCCCAAACAATACTTCTGCGCGCAAAGCGGTAAATAATGAGTGTTTTGTCGCTTCTATTCACACGTCTGTCCCCTCAGGCGACTGTCCCATTGGCGACCCGTCGTGGAGGGCGGCGTCTGCGCGTTGTCGCGGATGTTGGCTCAAAGGTAGGCATAATTTCGCAATTCTTGAGCGCTTTTAATGTCTATTTGGTCCCAAAGTGTGTCTCCAGAAGTTTCGCATCGATTGTGACGTCAGACAAGAAGTTCAAAAGCATTTCGCGCCCAAACTCATGACTCGTCCGAACGTCGCGCTCCTCACAGGTATTCCCTGACCTTCGCTGACCTTCACTCTGACCTTTACTCCCTTTCAGTGGACACGGGCGCCAATTCCTCCGCCAAAGTGGACGCCATTCCGCGCGCCTCCCTCCTGATGGTCGCGCAGTCGTCGTCGCACCGGTCGTCGTCGGGGCCGCGCGTGAAGCGCGTGTGTCGGTCTGCGGGCACGGCTTCGGGTCTTCCGCGCGCGACGTTTCCCTCGGATTCCGAGACTTCCGGCGATTCGGACGCACTTCCGGTTGACGTGTATTTGTGCCGCGCGTTCGCCAAACAGTCGCCGGAAACGTGTCTTCACTCGCATTGTCTCCACAATTGTCGCCACAAAAAGTCCGCTCTCGCCGTCGCGTGACGTCACCGCATGTGTGACGACATCAGTGCCTCAAATCAGTCATAACTCCAGTCATTATTCGCACGTTATTTGTGAACAGTTTGTAAATAAAGTGAAAGCAAACAATGTCTGAGTGTTTGTCGCGCGACGCCTCCTTTGACGCCTCCCTCTCGTCGGCCGCCGCCGTCGCGCGCCTCACAGCCGCCCTCCACAGCGCGCACAACAGGTCTGTCGTCCTTTCCTTCGCGTCGTCCGAAGTGTCGCTCAAAGTGTCGTCTCTTTCAGAGCCAAAGGCCTATCGCTTGTCGTCTCAAACGTGGATCGCATGCAAGACTCCATTGTCGCCGAAAACGCCATCTTTTGGTCGCAAATCGCAGTCAAAGAACTTTCAAAGGTTTCAAATCCGCTCTTTTCGCGCGCTCTTCACTCCTCTCTCTCTCTCTCCCGAAGAACTCGCAGAACGCGACGCTCGCCGCGCGACTCGTGGTCGCCGTCGCCGACGCCGTTCACCGCCGCTCCGCGTGTCACCATTTGTGGCCTCAGATGACGTCTTCGGTCGCCTTTCCGGCCGTCGATCTCCTCATCGGTCGTTCCCTTCCGTCGTCTTTCGTCGTCTCTGTCGTCGCGCAACTCATCGCGAGTTTCGGTTCACATTTGGCGCCAAAACGCAAACCAATCGAAGCCTTCGTTCTCAACAACGGACTCAACGCGCGCTCCGACCAAACGGTGCGAACCCTCCCATTGGCTCCCATTCCCTCTGACGTCACTTTTCTCTGTCCGCAGACTTTCGCCCTTCTCTTCGCGCGACTCTTCTTGTGTTGCGTTTCCATAGAAAGGCGTCAAATTCACGGCCAATATCTCCGCCAATCGCTGGACGCCCTCAACGCCGCTCTCGCGCAACAAAACTCAAATCACGTCCACTTCTGGAGCTCATGCGTCGCCGCCCTCTGCACGGCCGACACGGGCGGCGTCGCCGTTGCCCTTCCCGTCGCCGCCGTGGTCCAGAGCGCCGTTCGCGTGCTCGCTTTCGCCCCCCAGCGCGCGCTTCTCCTCCTCGACGCCCTCCTCGTCACGTGAGTAGTCCTCGTGTGATGTCATCGCCGACCAAACAATGAAAACTTGTTTCAAAACAGCGCGCGAAACGATTTCCTTGTCTTTTGTCCGAAAGTCAATCAAATCGTCAAACAATTGCTTTCGAGCGAAGATCTCGCGCTCCGGACTCTCGCCTTCCGTTTCCTCCGACAATACTTCCGTCTCTTTGGCTTCAGGTCAGGAATTTCCGCGCAAACGGCGCAACAATTCGTCCAAGAGCTTCTCCACGCCGTCAACGACTCGCAGGTCTGGAAGTCATCCATTTCCTCCCTTTCTCTCACTCTTTCCTCTCTCCGCAGAACTCTTCGTCCGCCGCAGACATCGACTCCGCCCTCGACGGTAAGCCCCGCCTCCCATGACGTCATTCGCTGACTCCGCCCTCTTCTCCCACAGCTCTGCGCGCTCTCTTCGCCGCGTTTCCCGCTTTGGACGCGAGTCTCGCTCTGCGCTCTTTTGTCGCGCTTTTGATCACAAATTATCGGTAAATAAAGACATTTCTCGCGACAATCCATTCAACGATTAATTCTTTTTCAGATCGCGAGAAATGTCTTCACTTTTGCAACGGTTTGTCTCGACTTCCGCTTCCGTTCCGGAAATTCAAAACTCTTTGCACTCTTAGAGACGACACGCGCCGCCGATTATGGCGATTGACGGCTTCTCTCGTCGCGAGACAACAACGCGCCGGAAGTGACGTCAGAAGTGTCGTCTGTTTGGCCCAAAGAGCGCGCGTTTGCGATCCAAACGAAGACATTCAACGCTTTTGCGAACAAACGATTCGATTGTCGATTAATCGGTTTTCGGCGGCAGACGACACGCCCACTGAGAAGGAAACGCCTTTCGCCGAAATGGAGACCACTTTGGAGTCTTTTCCTGTCGTCGAAAGTGTCGTCCCTTTAAGTGTTCCTCCGCTCGAGAGCGGGAAAGACGCGGAGGACGTCATCGCGAGCGGCGGTCCACCGACAAAACGCGCGAAAGTGGACGACAAGAGCGACGACAGTGTCGTCGAAGACATTCTCAAAGACTTTGTTTTGAATTGAAATAAAGTTTGAAATTATTGTTAAAACTTTTATTTATACTTAAACTCCAGTCCTTTGGCCTCTAATAGTGAAACAACTGTCCATTCATTCCCAAAACACTTGAAAACCGAAACAACTGTCGAAAGACTTCATTAATTACTCGTTGATAATAGAAATTATTGAAAAACATCTCAAATGTCGGAAAAATGCAGTCATTGTATAATAATTGATAAAAGTTTCACAAAACTTGTGTTAATTATGAGAGAAAAGAAGGAAATAATTGAGACTTTGTTCGGAATATTCTGTGAATAATTAGTTTTGGTTTCAATAATATATTGTGTCGACAGATGGCGCGCTCTTCGTGACAACAACGAAGCGATGGCCGAAAGACGCTTCACTCGCCTGAAGGCCTCCCTCTCGGAAACTGCGGCCAAAACTCGAGAAAATGTGTCGCGAGAGTTGCGCCAATCCATGGTCGAGGACGCGACGGACGGCTCTGACGTCACGAACGCCGCGAACGACGACTCCTTCGACGCCTTCTGTCCTCCGCTCGACTCGACTCCGCTCGCGATTCCCGACAACGACTTCCAAGTAATTCGTGTCTCTTTTGTGTCCACAAATAACGTCTCTCTCTCTCAGGTCCGCGAAGTGGCGCCGCACGAGACGTCCGGTCCTCCGCCGCAATGCGCGTCAGTGTTGGCGCGCGAGAGTTGTCGCCACTTATGGGAAGAGCGCCGGCAGTTGTGGTTCGCGTCGGAAGCGCTCAACGGCTCGCTCTTCGAGTGTTTCGCCGATTGGCGCGTCGGTCGCGATCTGCGGCCTCACGTGTTCGCGACGGCCGACCGCGCCCTCGACGCGAAGACGGTTCTGCGGGAAACGGCGTGTGTTATGAACCGAATGAACGGATTTCTGTCGCTTTGGCGCCAAAACGACAACTGCTTCCTCTCGTTCTTCAGAGACCGGAAACGCCAACAACTGATTTGGACACAAGAAGTGACGCAAGAAGTGGTGAAGAGAGACGAGAACGCGCTTCAACTCGACTGCCATTGCATTGAGTTCTCCGGCGATGACGTCATCGACGACTGGATTCAAGACATGAATGAAAACCGTTTTGACGCCAAACGCTCTCTCGCGCGCATCCGACGCTCCGATTGGTCGCACGTCGACCGCTTCCACCGCAGCCACGCCCACCACAACCTCTTCCACGCCTACGCCGATCTTCACGTGCGTCGCGGGGCCTTTGCCCGCTTGCGCGCGACTCCCGACTCTTCGGACGTCTCGTGTGTCGTCTCCTCTGTCGCCGTTCGCGTCGTCTCCGCGCGACTCGACGTCAAAGAGAGCAAAGACGGCGTCCTTTTTGTCAAAATGGCTCTTTTTGACGCCAAAGCGGGAAAAGTGTCGCAAGAGTTCCGCTTTCGGGACGCCGTCTGCGACCGCACCGCCCTCTACAACGTCACGCCCGGCGGAGACCTCTATCTCGTGGTTCGCGTCGAGCGCTGCGCCCACAAGACTTCGCTGCGGCCGCAGAGCGCTCACCGCGAGCCGTTCGCGTGGTCGGCGCGACCGCTCTTCTCGGCCGACGGCGCTCTCATTTCGGGCGCCATTTCTTCGCCGCTCTTCAAAATGGATTCAAACCGAATGTCCGACGATTACGTCACGCAATCGCTCAACAATCAGAACCTCATGCGAAACAACACGACTCTCGGCGGACATCTCGTCGTCAATCTCGAGCTCGACTCGAGTCCCGACTCGACCGCCGCTCGAGCATGTCCGACGATTACGTCACGCAATCGCTCAACAATCAGAACCTCATGCGAAACAACACGACTCTCGGCGGACATCTCGTCGTCAATCTCGAGCTCGACTCGAGTCCCGACTCGACCGCCGCTCGAGCTGTGCCTTCGTTGCGTCCGCCCGTCGCGCCCGTCGACGCCTTCCGTCACGTTCTGTACGTCTTTCCCCTCAGTTTAAGGTAAGGATAATAACTGAGTGTTGACTCAAATCCTAAAGACTTTTGAACTTTAGATACGACTCGCAAAAAGTGTTTCCAAAAGCGCGTAATCTTTGCGTTGAACTCCAAGTCCGCGATTCTGATGCCGTCGACGCGCGCCCTCTGCCCGCCCTCCACGACGACGCCTCCCCCGATGCCGCCACCGCCGCCTCCTCGGCCGCCACGCGCCACAACGTGAACCCCGACTTCAACGAGGAGTTCAAAGTCTCGCTTCCGACTCAACACTCGGAGAAACTCCATCTTCTCTTCACATTCTTCCACATCTCGTGCAAGAAGGAGTGTCTGCG